TAGATGGGGAACTTATATAGTCAGAAAATGAAATTCCCCACAAGGTATTCTATCAAAACCTTTAGAATCTTCAAGTATATAGCTCACCAATTTATACAACCTCTTCTCTCTGTTTCGCCTTCTGGAGCCCCAAGGCTTTAACAATATTAAGCTGATTTGTTCCAACTACCCAGCATGTTTATTTTTGCCCTCAAAGCTCTTTGTCTAACCAGGAGTAGGGGCTATGAATCATCTGTCCATGTAGCTGTTTAGTGTTGTCAGCACTTTCTCTATGAAATTATATTTTCAGTAGCTTCTAATCCAGGTGTAGTAGTTTGTTCCATGCTGTTTTTGGCATGGGCTCTTTCCACTCCAAAGCAATTAAAAATAGGTGAATTGAACATGCATTTCCAGTAATTTTTTTATTTCTAATTACTTTTTTTACCTACTTACCTAACAGAATATTTTTTTTCCCAATTCCATTCTGCTTTCAAGATTAAAATACAAGTTAGTAGAATACATCCCTAGGTATAGTTATTATAATAAGTGGGTTCAGATGTAAGATTCCAGGGGCTTACTTCAAGGTTTATAAAATGATTGTCTGCCAATTGTGCAGCAACGAGTTATGTATTTGTTACATGTTTACAAGTCCTAGGTTTTGAGAATTTTACTTTATCAGTATAATCAATACTTACTGTGTTCATAAATTCACTGTCACTTGTTTACTTGATCAGGATTTTTTTTACCCATTACTTCTAGTATGTATGTTTGGTACTTTGGACACATTGTCAGGCAAGACCAGTCACCAGAGAAGGACACATTGTCAGGCAAGACCAGTCACCGGAGAAGGACATCATGCTTGGTAAAGTAAAGGGGCAAAGAAAAAGATGAAGGTCCCCAAAGAGATAGATTGACACAGTGACTGCAACAATGGGGTCAGGCTTAGGAACAATTGTGAGGATGGCACAGGACCAAGCAGTGCTTTGTCCTGTTGTGCACAAGGTTGCTGTTAGCTGGGACTGACTCAATGGTGCCCCAAAACAACAACTATACTATTTCCAGTTGCTTTCATTATTTAGTGCTGCCATAACAGAAATACTACAAGTGGATGTCTTTTACAAACAGAAATTAGATTTCTGACAGGACAGGAGGCTAGAAGTCTAAATTTAGACTGCTAGCTTTGGAGAAAATCTTTCTGTCTGTAGACTTTGGCAGAAGGTCCGGATCTCTTCAACTTCTGCTCTGCGGCTCCTTGGAGATCCCTGAGTGCGTTGGCGTCTATCTTACTTGCTCTCTGTTTCTTTAATCTGTTCCAGTTATATTTCATAAGAGTTTGCCTCAAGATAAACCCTATCCTCATCCTGTCTCATCAGCCTAACAGAGGCACCCCATTCCTCAGTGGGGTTATAACCAAAGGCATAAACTTTAGGATTTAATACACATATTTTTGGGTGGTAGCTTGCGTGTTGCTGTGATGTTAGAAACTATGGTTTCTATTGGATGGTTTACAATCAGAAAAGGCCTGCATAGCGATTGTATCCCTTCACTATACTTATTCAGTCTGTATGCAAATAATCTGAGAAACCAGACTATACGAAGAAAAGCTCAGCATCAGGTTCCGAAGATAGTTTATCACCGCCTGGCTTCTCATGAGTGATTTCACAGGATCAAGAACAATATCTGAGGCTTTGTTGAGTAAATCAAGGTTTCTCAATCTTGACACTCTTGCATTGTGTCACCTAGCTCTTTGCTTCATCGGACCATGCCAGATAAGGTGTGCAGCCACATCCCTGCCCTTTACTCACTAAATGCCAGCAGCAGTGCCACGGCTGTGACAACACAAATGTCTGTAGGCATTGGGGAATGGCCCTTGGGTTTGTAGGAGACAGCACACGTGCTGTCCTTCACTAGGAATAACCGCCATGGAAACTGTCTTTGTACTGAAATCTAGGCCTGGTGTTACCACGATCCCATGTTTAACCCCTTCCATTCGAAGGAAATCTAGAGTGCAACTGTGAAAATCACATGGTGCCCAAGGCTGAAGTCTTTGCTGGTCCTGACAATGAAACATTAAGTCCGGACAGTGCTTTCTTTGTGTAATTTGTTAGAAAAAAAGCCAACGTATTGAGCAAGTTAATCTTGAGGGGAAATTCATTATTCTGATATCCTGAGATTGCATTAGTAAGTTACTTTTTTGTGATTCAATGCCTGTGTTTGGTCACATACTTCACCAAAGTAAAATCAATTAGGTGAACTCCTTTGGATTTAAATGTGACTCGTTTTGAATGATGTATTGAATGATGCATTGGCAGATTGGAGAGTCTAAGGTTGAGTGCAAACTCAGTTTCTGGCCTCATTTTATAATCTAGAATGTAAAATGGAATAATTTATTTCTTCCTGAGATGTGGACGATGAGATGTGTAGATAAACTGCACATTGAATGTGAGGCAGGTGGACCTTGCGATCCTGGCTGCTCATGTGCCCCCAACCCCCTGCCATGGAGTCGAATCTGACCTGTAGCGATCCTCTGTAGAGTTTCCAGGTCTGTCCACACTTACAAGATCAGCTGGCCTCATCTCTCTCCAGTGGAGCTGCCCGTGGGTTTGAACCTAGACCTTTTGGCCAGCAATCCAATTGGTGATGCGTGCTTGGTCATTCCCTGCCATCGAGTCAATTCTCACTCAGAGCAACCCTTTAGCACAGGGTAGAGCCACCCCTTCAGAGGTACCATTCCTCAGTACTAATTAAGTTAGGAGAAAGATGAAGCTTTCTACTACTGAAATAGGTGACATCTGAGAAAAGCAAAGGGGCGGTTCTACCCTGTCCAATAGGGGTCAGATTGACTCTGCGGCAGTGTGTGTGTGTGTGTGTGTGTGTGTGTGTGTGTGTGTGTGTGTACATAGTGTTGGGAACCTTAGTGGCACAATGGGTAAGTGACCAAAAGTCCAGTGGTTGGAGCCCATCAAGCTATCAGTGGGAGAAAGGCCTGGTGAGCTGAGTCCATAAAGATTACTGTCTTTGAAACCCTATGGGTAGTTCCACCTGTCCCTGTGGGCAGTGCTATCTGTCCATAGGGTCAACACGAGTCAAGATTGACTGTATGACAAACAACAACAGTCATTTTCATTACTTTTAACAATAATTGTGTCAATCATTGAATAACCAAATCACCCATCATCATTATACCATTATTATAGGTTTCCATTTTTGTCCATCACTTAGTAGTAGCTGAATGTCACCCAACTAATGAATCACCCTTTCCCTTATCTTCCTGCCAATCCAGGGGAATCACTTTAGGCCTCTAGGCATTTGCCTGTTCTTAATACTTTATGTAAATGTAATTATACAATATCTATTTTTTTGTTGTTCTTGTTAGACCAATTTCAGAGAACATGTATCAGAACTTTAGTTCTCTTTATGACTGAGTTCTATTCCATTGTGTGTATATTCCATGTTTTGTTTATCTATTCTTCAGCTGATAAAACATTTGGATTGTTTCCTGGTTTGGGCTAATGTGAACAATGATACCATGAACATTGATTTACATTCACATGATCTTTAAAGGGCAATGCACACATACCACACACCACATGGAGAATTACCTTGGTTGGAAGCCTGTGAAGCTGCCTTGCAATATGCATGTATTTCTGTAAAGCATCTATTCCTGCAGTTCTAAAAATTGCAGAAGTGGAATTGTGTCACTGCTCTGCTTCCCCACCACTCATGGAGAGTTCACCATACCATGTAAGGAATTCAAAACAATAGACCCATTCTTGGTCCTGCAATTTAAACATGTGGTTGGTTTATGACTTGGGTGGGAACTGAAGACAAAGTTTGGAAACCAATTGTCAGCTGTCTCTGGATGTCTGATAAAAAGTTGTTGGTGTTAGGTGCCATCGAGTCTGTTCCAACACACAGTGACTTATGCAGAACGAAACTCTGTATGATCCTTCACCATCCTCACAATTGCTCCTGTGCCTGAGCTCATTGTTGCAGCCACTGTGTCCATCCATCTTCTTGAGGGCCATCCTCTTTGGGGCTGCCTATTTAATTTACCAAGCATGATATTCTTCTCCAGGCACTGGACTCTCCTGATAACATGTCCAAATATTTATGATGAAGTCACCCCATCCTTGCCTTTAAGGAGCAGGCTCTTTGGGGCCAAAGACAAACTATTAGGGAAGGGAAAGGTGACTGAGTGGTGGTTTGTACTTGGTCACTAACCAAAAGGTTGGCATTTCAGACCTATTCCAACGTCACCTTGGAAGAAAGACCGAAGATCTTTGTTCTTAGCGATTACTGCCAAGGGGACTGTTTGGAGGTCAGCTCTGCTTTGTGATGCACGGGGTCCCTGCCATTCTGTCTTTTCCATGGCAACAAGTTTGGTGTTTGGGTTTAGGAGAACAGAAAAGGAGAGTGGTTTTGGAAAAGGAGAATGAATATGTGTGCAAGATTTGATGGAGGAGGGGGACCAAGAAGAAAGAGTGGAGGAAAGGTGTCTGAATGGAAACTGAAAGGAACCAGAAGTAGTGGTTGGCCAAGACCATGACCCTGTAACAGAGCTTGCTGTCAGGACATGGGGTAGGGGGCTCTCAAGGTAAATATGACGATGTATGTAACCGGTTTCTCTTTTGAATAACCTTCAGAATTCACCAAATGCGATATGCTTGTTCCTTGAATGTTCTTAGGTCCCTTCCACCCAGTTCTGACTCAGAGACCCCTCAACAACAAAATGAAACACTATCTGTGCCATCCTCACAACTGCTGTTAAGTCCGTGCCCATTGTTGCAGTTGCTGTCAATCTATCACTTGGATGGTTTTCATCTTTTTTTTTTTTTTTTTGCTCTCCACTACTTTACCAAGCATGGCATATTTTCTCAGGGACTGGTCTCCCCTGATGACATTTGTAGAGTACCTGAAGTCTTGCCCTCTTCATTTCTAGGAGCACTCTGGCTGCACTTGTTGTGTGGACTGCTGAAAATGTCAAGCCACTGAGTTCTTTTGTGATTTTTTTCTTTCAGCTCAGAAAGACCCTCGACTTTATTCCTGCCCCATCTACAAGAAGCCAGTTCGAACAGACTTGAACTACATCACTGCTGTGGAGCTCAGGACAGTTCAGCCCCCCGAACACTGGGTCCTTCGTGGAGTGGCCCTTCTCTGTGATGTTAAATAACATGGGGGAGCATCCCCACAAAATCGTTTGGAAAGTACAAGGTCCAAATGACTGTAAATACCATTTCTCCATGACTTCTAGACATTCCATAAATCAGGTTGTTTGTGCAACTCAGGAACTGTGTTGGTTCCCCCAATCCTTAGTTAGATGCTGGCATTGAACCAATGTCATAATGAGTTAACCCATCCCCACTCTTGTTGACAAAGTTACAGCGTGATTTGAAAATAACATGTACAACTTGCTAATGAATTTAGCCCTCAGTTTCCTGGGAAATGAATCTCCTTCTGCCTGAAACGTCAGCACTGAGCACGTTCAGCAGACTTGCTCCCCCTGAAAAAGGATTCTGTGTGAATGTTCCTTGTGTGACAGCTGGACTCTCTAAGGTGACATGGGACACTTGTGCTGAGTTTGCCTTTTGCATTTAGGTCAGGCAAAGAGCTTTATTTTCAGGGCTTCAAGCAGCTAATTAAGAGATCTCCTGAAAAATAGAAAGGAATAAGAGACTGGGTTAAGACTATGAAGAAACAATTCATCTCTACCTATATACTAAGCCTAGAATAATGTTGAGCCCCCTCTCCCTGGAAATTAATTTTGAAATGCTAATTGAGATATCTTCTTATAATCAAAATAGAAAATTAAAGCTAAAAGCCAATTGGTCTGCGGTCTTTATTAGCGGATACACTCACAGCTGCTGTTGTGGTGTGCTGTCAAGTCCATAACAATTCAGAGCTAGCCTACAAGACAAAGAGTTGTTGCTCCATCGCATTTCCTAGACTGTGACATTTATGGGAGAAGATTGTCAGGGCTTTCCCCCCCCAATGAACTGCTGAATGGGTTCGAACTGCTGACCTTTTGATTGGCAGTAGAGCACTTTAACCAGTGTAACATCAGGTGTCATTCACAAAATGATAGACCAATGTAAATTGACCCAACCTTGTTGCAAAAAAAGAAAAAAACTATGCCCAGACACAGTCATAAAAATGCTCACCTATTTTCACCCTTATTTTTTCCGCTGGAAATTTATTCTAAGGGAAGAGGGAAGCCAATTATATCTAAATCCATTTTAATAAAAGGAAAAACTAGAAGTGCCCTGAATCTTCAAGAACTAGGCTGTTTGTGAGAACATAAGAGCCGCAAGATTGTCATGAGACCAGTACTGAAGGTCTGATAAAGAGAGTGGTAAATGCCTGGTATTAGTAAGACCAAGTTGAATGTTCTATGAAAGATCATATGTACTGTGCACACTCTATGTAGAATGAAATGTGTTCACGTGTGGACAAAGACTAGTGGACTGCATGGAAAAACTCAAAAAGGTGTGTCAGCATGGTAAAGATTGCAGTGGATTTGAAATAAAAGTAATGATTGAAAGAAAAGACATATATGAAAGAAAGAAGTTGGTGGAATGATAGGGAGTAGGAATTCATCTGGGATTTTTTGTTAATTAAAAATAGTACTTAGTAAACTTTTCATATATCTATAAATTCTAGGTTTATACAATAAGTGCTTTTTAAAATAACCAAGGAGCTAGAAAATTTAGTCAATATTAAGTTAGGATGGTGGTTTTCAAGCATTTAGTTAACTGTGTTTTTTTACCAGCATATCTTCAAACATTTTTAATGCTTTTTAAGATTACAACAATAATACATACTCTAGCAATTGAAATTATTTTTAAATTAAGTGCAAGTAATAAATATCCAAATGAATGCTAAGAGCATAATATATACAAAGTGCGCAGGGTTGGTTCCAGTCATAGATAGCTGGCTCAATATTTTAAAGTATTTTGAATAAATGTCTTTATAATCCAGGATAATAGAAATTAATCTAAAATCAATTCACCAAAACAGGAATCAAAGTTTAATTGCAAGTAATTCTAAAATTTAAAACCATTAATGGAATTTATCAGGAAAAATGATGAAACATCTATGAGGATAATTTTGTTTAAACTTAATAAATGTAAGTTGAAGTTTAAACTATGAAATAACTTTTAAAATATGTATTAGGCATTTTAAAAAATCGTTTTCTTGGTAGCGTTTACAGATATCATAACATTCCATAGTTCTAACACATTGAGTAGTGTTGTGCAATTGCTACCACAATCAGTTTCAAAGCATCACTTTCCTGACACAATTGCTGAAGACAAAATGGGTGCATAAGTAAATGTGCTGGAGAAATCTGATTGTGCCCAGCTATGAAAAGATATAGCCACTGGGGTCTTAAAGACCTGCAGTTAAACAATGGTCAGTTAGCAGGGAAGCAACAAAGCTTAGATGGAAGAAGCACACCAGCTTGTGTGATCGCAAGGTATCCAAGAGAAGAGGTATCAGAAGTTCAAAAATAATCAACCAAATTGATGTGAAGGGGCATGGATGTAGTGGAGACCCAAAACCCACCTGTAAGATAATTGGACAGTCCTTCTAAGAAAGGCCACATGGAAGGGATGATAAATCCAGGGTGTGATATGGCACTGATGGACCACAGAATTATCCTCTAGTTTTTAGATATTTCCTCCCCTTAATATTATAATTTTTATTTGTATTACCTCATTAATCGTGTTGGATTTGCATATGTTCATTTGTATATTTAGGATCGTTTGGTACATGAAAGTCAAGATAGATAATCCGTCAGAAAGAGTAACGGGAGTAATGGTTCCCTGAGGGTATGGGAAGAGAGGGCAGGGGAAGGCGGAGGGGGTGGTGGTGGAGGGAGCTGATAGTATTGATGACTGTACAGCCACACTAGATGGGATCCAATAACATGACTGTATAACCTCACTAGATGGGATCTAAACACAAACTTGCATGTGAATGGATATATTGGATTGTGTGTAAGACATGACCAAAATAAGAAAAAAAACTATAAAAAAGGAATAAGGGTTCCTGTTGGGGGTGGGGGACTGGTATAAGGAAGGAGGGATAAAGGAGAGCAGTTATAAAGGAGTTTAAGAAAAATGAAAATGTTTTGAAACTGCGTTTAGTTAACTTTGGAGGAGCACAACTGTGTGTTTTCGGTGATGAAGAGTGTTCAGGCACCACAGACAGGGCTGGCATTCCTCTCAGTGATCCGAATGTTGAATGCCATTATTTTATGTGTGTGCAGCAGAGAGTTAGACATGAGTAGGTCATATGACCCCTACATTTTCAACAACCTTGTGCTCATCTGAGCAGGTATCTTTTAGTAGTATAAATTAAGGTTGTCACTGATTTGTGTGCCTTGTCTAAAGCAATCGTGTTATCTTGCAAAATAAATGACTGTAAAAATGATGGAAATTATTAATTAAAAAATTGTTAGCAAATATCTGAATTGTAATTGTTATTTAATGGGGTCACTATGAGTTGTAATTGTTCTGATGGCAGTTGAGGTAGTTAGTTTATTGTGCCAATCTGGCCGATAAACACATGTGGGGTTAATTGAAGGGTGGAGGGATAAATGGCTCAATGAGCCTCACTTTTCTAGTTCTCCAAGGTGCAGCTGCCTTAGCCAGTTCCCTGCATCAGCTAGGAAGGTTCACTTCCTGCAAGACATCCCCCAGGAGAAGCCACATGGACCTACCGCGATGCAGCCCTGGGTGCTGGAGCAGCCATGTGGAGACCCCTGCCAACGCTGAGATGCTTACATACACGTTCACTGATTCGGCTTTCCTCCTGCAGTCGGCATCATTGTGTGTGTTTTGTGAGATGGAGGAGGACTTTGTGGATTGGTGTCACACATATGGGTTAATGTTGGACTTGTGGGCTTGGGCAGCACTGGGTTGGGATGTTTTCTTGATGTGCACTTACCCTTTATATAAAACTCTCTCATACATATGAATTTCTGTGGATTTGTTTCTCTAAAGTACCCAGAGTAACACAGCAGTAGGTGTGTTTTGGGCTTTTGGAGAGGCAGTAACTGTGTTGCTCTGTGCTGTTGAGTCTGCTTGGTTTTTGGCTCAGGATGACCTCATGTCCTCGAGCCTAACTACCCTTAGCATTTTCTTGGCTGTAGTCTTGATGGGAACAGATGGTCACATCTTCATCCTATGAAGTTTCTAGGTGGGTATGAACCATTAACTTTTCCATTAGCTGCTGAGTGCATAATTGTGAGGCTGACCACCAAGAATCCTTAACTGCCATTGACAAATACGTTTTTATAACTGCATTTGTATCTGTAATTCAGAAAGTTGTGTAATTGAACTCATACTTAAATCTGTATGTGCCCCATTCAGAAAAAATACCCAAATCCAAGGAGGACATTTTGGAATTAATTCAACAGGAAATGTCTCTGAAGCGATGCTGAGCCACTTGAGGGGCTCCCAGTGAATCTGGTGGAAAGGGAGGACCCAGTCATTGGATCTGATATATGATGAGTCTTAGACTGAATCTGGGCGATGAAGAAAATGACACGCGGTATCTTAGTGATAATGTAGAGTGACATTGCCATTGTTGGCTGCTGTTGAGTGACGCTCACTCAGGGTGACCTTGTGTATAACAGAACCAAACCTTGCTTGGTCCTACATCATCTCCATGGTCTTAATATGCCACATGCATTTTAAACCCCATGCATCACAGCAGAATATTGCAGAGTAGTATAGCAGTCTTTTTCAGATTGTCAGCATGGTGGTTGTTGGTAGGTGCCATTTAATAGGTTCCAACCAATAACACCTTTATGCACAACAGAATTCAACACTGCTCTTACCTACGCCATCCTCACAATGGTTCCTGTGCTTGAGCCCATTGTTGCAGCCACCGTGTCAATCCGTTTCATTGAGGGTCTTCTTTATCAAGCATGAGATCCTTCTCCAGGGACTGGTCTCTCCTGGCAACATGTCCAAAGTATGTAAGACAAAGTCTTACCATCTGAGTTAGTTAATTGTGCCAACCTGGCCAATAATCACATGTGGGGCTAATTGAAAGGCGGAGGGATAAATGGGTGGTGAGCCTCACCTTTCTAGTTCTTGGGTCTCTTGTTTTGTGATGGTCACACCAGGGTGCAGCTGCCTATAGCAGTTCCCTACTTCAGCTTGCAAGATTGACTTCCTACAAGACATCCCCAAGGAGAAACCACATGGACCTATCCCGATGCAGCCCTGGGTGCTGGAGCAGCCGTGCAGAGACCCCTGCTAGTGCTGAGATGCTTATTCGTTCACTGACTCAGCTTTCCTACTGCAACCGGCATCATTGCCTCTGTTTTGTGAGGTGGAGGACTTTGTGGACTGGTGTTGGGTTAATGGGTTAATGTTGGACTTGTGGGCTTGGGCAGCATTGGGTTGGGATGTTTTCATGATGCACACTTTCTTTACATAAAACTCTCTCTTATACATGAGTTGCTGTGGCTTTGTTTCTCTAAAGTACATAGACTAATACACCATCCTAGCCTCTAAGGAGAACTGTGGCCTATTTCTTCCATGACAGTTTGCTTTGCCCTTTTAGTAGTTCAATTTCAGTATTCTTCTCTAGCAACACAATTCAAATGCATCCATGATTCTTTGGTCATCATTATTCAATGTTCAACTTTCACATGCATATGAGGTAATTGAAAATACCATAACTTGGGTCAGGCACACCTTACTTCTCAATGTAGCATCCTTGCTTTTCATTTATTTAAAGAGGTTTTGTGCAAATCGCCTTTTGATCTTTTGACAGCTGCTTCCACAAGCATTGATTGTGTATCCAAGCAAGACAAAATCTTGACCACTTCAACCTTTTCCCTGTTTATCATGATGTTACCAATCGGTTCAGCTGTGAGGATTTGGGCCTTCTTTACTTTCAGTTGTCATGCACACTGAAGGCCAAACCCTTGATCTCCATCCGCAGGTGCTTCAAGTCCTCCTCACTTTCAGTAAGCATGATTGTGTCATCATTTGCATACTGCAGGCTGTTAATAAGCCTTCTTGCAATAGTATTTGGTTTTAAAACTCTAGGTATTTGAATTTCGTTGTATCGGTTATTATATTTCATTATAGTATTTTACTGTGCCTCTTTGAGCTGCCCTTTCAAATTTTCTATTCAGCTCTTTGACTTCATTCTTCCATTTGCTTTAGCTGCTGTAGGATTAAGATCGAGTTTCAGAGGTTCTTCTGACACCCACTTTTTAAAACATTCATAAATCATTTTATTGGGGGCTCTTATAACAATTCATACATCAAATGTAGCAAGCACACTTGTACATATGTTGCCATCATTTTCAAAACATTTTCTTTCAACTTCAGCCCTTGGTATCAGCTTCTCTTTTTTCCCTCCCTTCCCTATCCTCCCAC